CACTTTTCAGAACAGAAATAGGTAAATAAATAACATGAAATACATAAATGAATTGTTAAACATTTATGAAGTAAAATAAACAAATGAAACTTTATAAAGTTATAGTGTAATAGTAGTTGCTAAAATGTGTAATTTGTTATTTAAGTTGAGAAGCAGGATTGAGTTTTTTATGAGATGAATGACAAGTTAGCAAATACCTCTTTTAGGAAGAGAATTTACTGAAGTTAAAATTTCTATAAAATCTCAGTTAGATGTAAAATTTTCATTAAATTGTAGTTTGTTGTGACATTTCTTAAGAATAAACACAATTTTAATTACAAATAAGGAATGTTTTAATAAAAAAACATGCTATAATAAAGATTAAAATACATAGAAAAAGCACTTTTGTCAATTTCTGACTTCAGTTTTTTAATAAATGAATAATTTTTCTTCATTTTATTAAAGATCCCTCCTCAGGAGGAAGATGCTGGAAATGCATATCAATAGATACAAGAAGAAAATTGTGTCTCAAGACCATTCTGTTCCATAGCTGTCCTATTTGATAAGTCTGTCTATAGGAAAAGTGCACTAACACAAAATGTAGGAAATAAGTCAACAGACAAAAAGTGATCTGAATATCACAAGTTTTTCTGTACTTTGCAATATTTAAGGCCACTTTTCATACAACTCTGAAACTCCCACGTCATTATTTACTGATTCTCAGTCATTCTGTTTTTCTTGTTCCTTCCCTGTTATTTCTGAAGTCTTTCTCACNCCGCGTTGGAATTTCGAAAAATCCTTTCTTAGTGTGCGTTTCCATGACGTACCCTAACTGTGTACCAAATTTCACCTCTTTAGGTTAAGCGGTTTGCTCTGGGCGATGATGAATCAGTGAATGAATGAATGAGTCAGTCAGGACAAGCAATTTTATATATTTAGATTACTAGATTCAAGGAAACACTCTTTAGATAAATATTTATGCCCATACATCATCTGTAATATGTTTTCTAGTTTTATTTTTCCATAAATAATTCATTTTTTTTTCAAAAAAGATGATACAATGTTACACTTTAAAGATTTTTTCACACAGAAAAATGCTTATTTGAACATTCTGAAATTTTCAAACATATTTTGAATTATATTATAATACATTGCTTTATATTGCTTATGTAACAGAATTATTAGCAAGTAAATTTTTGTATAATTTGAAGAAAACTTTAATAAGAATTTAATGCAGAACAAAATATAGAAATGCAAGTGATTAGAATACAGAGTTTTATTAAATTATTTGCAAATAAAGCTAATCTAATAACTTTCATTTAATACTTAAAAAATGAAAAGTAAAAATATTTTTGGAAGTTTTGTCCATTATGAATTGTTTAGTTATATATCTTATAATTATAATTATCCATTTTAACCAATTTATAATGAAATTGGTTAACATAGATAAAAATATAGAGAACAAATCTCTGATAATGATCTTAATAAAAGATCAGTAGTATGTAAGGTGGAATTATCTGGATTCTTTATGATAATAGAAATTCTTACCGCATAATATGATTTTAATTGAACTAAAGTTTTATATTTTAAATCCTCTTTTCTTTTAAAAGCAAGAGAATAGAAATCTACTTCAGGCTCTGTTTATTGAGTAGAAATCTTTTAACTATACTCACCAAATTAATTGGCTCTTTTTCTTTTATCCATCTCCTAGATGTTGAGATGATTGATAATGTTTTACTCTTTTGCATAGCCATCATTGGTTAGACTAGGCCCTCAATGGGAATGTTAAGATGGTGAAAAACAGGTGACATAACCGACATATTCAAGATAGACCATTCATGAAAAACTCATAAGATCCTCATTCAATTCCAGATGGAGAACCAATTTGGACTTGAATGAGGGTCAGGATCCACCAGAGTGACAAGTGTTACCTTTGCAAACATAGCCATCTGGTCATCTTAATAGGGCAGGAAGAGTCAAAAATGACAAAAATAAATAATATCAATAAATGAGCAATTATTTATTGTGACATTGCCACAATGCTGATCTTCAACTTTTAATCATATTTTTAATTTATTTAAATTAAAATATATGCTCTCTACCACAAATTAATAGTGGCTTGTCCCTGTACATGATAGTTTTTCTTTAACAATAGAGCTGTGCCAGTCATCTATCTAACACCTTTCAGGGAAAAATTTTTGAATTGAAATAACATGACTTCCAGGTTGCACCAGATGTTCATATATAGTTAATCGGCACCTCCTGTCTGTCCCTATATTTCTATATCTTTCATTATCTTGTCTTTCATCTATCTAACTCTGTTCTCAAGATTTAGGAAAGATAGATGGACAGACAGATGACAGTGGGAATTTATAGGTCTACAATTTTTTCAAATTGCAGGCCAATAATAAAAATTTCAAAAAATTAATTTATAGTATGCAGCTTGTAAATCTCGAGAAATTTTTAGAGATACACAAGAACATGAAGTATACTTTGAGTAGTACTAATCTAGCAAACAAGGAATAGTATCATATTTACTCAAATTTAATATGCATTCTTTTTGGCTGAATTTTGTTTTCAAAATTTACAGTATTTGTTAGAATTGTGCACTAGATTTAAGTACAAACTCAAAATCTCCATTTACTAGTGCTCTGCTATGTGCTGTTGCTTTCAACAACTCCTCCAACCTCCTCCTCATACTTTGTATCTCTAAACCTTTTACTCTAAACCAGAGAAAGACTCCAAATACTTTGTTGTTTGTCTTTCTCTGGCTTTTGCATACACTATTTGGATTCTTCTTTATTACCTAATCTTTTCTCACTTACATTGATAAATATTGTTATCAAATGATCATACATGCTGTAGCTAAATGTTTGAAGCAGACATACATTATGTTCACCTGTAAATAAATATTTTCAGTTTCAGTTTTGAAAATCAGAAAGGTCATTATATGGGGTGAGAACATATGCCGACGCTACTTGCTTTAGGGTCGACCTTAAGGTGAATAGGTTACAACCCTTGCTTTGCCTGCAGTTTGTCAAGATGTCACGAGAAAGCCTTTTTTTCATATGGGGGTAGTGGTTTGCTGGATGCAAAGAGACTCTCACAGAGACCGAATTTATAAAATTAATGTGTTTATTTAGATGAAGACATGCTTACAGATAGATGGGTTACACTATTCAGTTAAGAGATGTTGCCCCAAAATGATGAAGAATCCTTCTGAGGTAGGCACATTAGTCACTCTATCTGTAGAAGATCCTTTGGACAAGGAAGTGGTAGCCAGGTTCACATTGCACAAGACCACAATGTACCTAATTTTCGTTGGGAGGTAGAATCCCTAGTTGCATCCGTTGAATGGAGAGGTCTGTCATGGGAAGTTCAGTCCCCTCATTCTTCTATTGTTCTTGATTCACCATGTTAGCCTTTGCTCCAACAATCTTTAGATGATTAGCAACACTGTTTGCTCCCAACCTCCCTGTGTCCTTGGAATCTCAGGCTTTTATATGTTTTTACCCAAAATCCTGCTTTTTGGTTGGTCTGAACAGTGGTCCTCTGTAACTCCATTGGTCCCTGGTCTGTTGCCAGGGACGTGATTCGGGCCACGGGGTTGCCGAACAACCCCGAACTCCCCCATCTGGACCATTCTCCTCCAGAGTCAGGTCAAGCTCTTCCCCGGATGATGAACCCATAAATTTTACTCTAATGTATAGTTTTCTGTACCAGAGAAGATGTAGCTATCCCAGCTGCCGCCCCTCCACAGGAGTGTCAGCAGGTCCTGCTTTGAACTCTCTGTAAGGTGACCATTCAAAGTTACTCCAGCGGACAATTCCTCTCTTGCTCTCATGATGTACAGTCAAGGATCTGTCAATTAGGTCTGGAATGCAACAATTAAATCATCTCACACTCCATTCCTTGGCCACACCAGTCCTGTTTATGAAATAAGTCACCAATCCATTGGCTTTAACTTGACAGCCAGTTTCTCATCAGGGGCGGTGATGTCTCGCCTTACAATTAGTTTTAAGTAAATACACTGTTTAATTTACTAAATTACAGATTAGAGTTTGTAAGAGTAAAGAACAAACTTCAAAGAAGAGTTTTAGCTGCCAGATTGGCTTAAGTTATGAAATGGTTGTATGGTCAGATCATAGGTTTGGAGGCTGAATTTTTAGTTTGTCTATTTGAATATGTTTTGCAAATTTCTCTTTTATCTCTTTCAAATATTTACTTTACATCTCTTTTGCTTACATGATATTATATATACCATACTATTAAATTTTATATTATATTACTAGATTCAAGGAAACACTCTTTAGATAAATATTTATGCCCATACATCATCTGTAATATGTTTTCTAGTTTTATTTTTCCATAAATAATTCATTTTTTTTTCAAAAAAGATGATACAATGTTACACTTTAAAGATTTTTTCACACAGAAAAATGCTTATTTGAACATTCTGAAATTTTCAAACATATTTTGAATTATATTATAATACATTGCTTTATATTGCTTATGTAACAGAATTATTANTTATTTATTTATTCAATAGACCATCTGTGTTTATGACCTACTTGGTTCCTGAAAAGATATCATTAAGTGAGCTGCTTCATTTCTAATAAGATTCATTGGGTGTTCATAGAAATACTGATTTGATCTTTGATTTATATTATATTACACTGAAGTGATCAAGCAAAATAAAATTATATAGTGCATTCACAACAGAAAATTTATACATGTAAAATGAATGATCATGAAGCAGGTTGAAATTTTTTCTATATATTTCTTCTATACATGAAGAGACCAGAGTTCTTTCTTATGTTTAGGTATTTGATGCAGAGAGTCATGTTTTGTCTTAGGCTGTAACCAATAAAATCTTGCTAGTGTCTGACACTTACCTTTGCTACTTTTGCTCTTCTGGCAGTACAGACCACATGTACTGAAAATGAAACACAAAAATTATATAGCTTCACTGAATTTTGGTATTATAAATTTATAAGACTACTTTTTGACTAATTATCAAGACTGGGACCAAATCATCGTTTATCTGTCACAGCTTGATAGTCCCATTTTGAAAGTGCTTAGTCCCAACATGCCTTCATCACTGACAACAGTTTGTTTTTCCTATTGTAAACTAAGACTACTGCTTTTTATTTGACTTTTTTTCTGCCTAGTCTAGTCTGAGCTAAAAATGAATTATTTTTGTGTTTTGTGTTTACATATGTATTAACAATACAAATAATCACAAACCAGAGAATAATTGCAGTTCTAATATCAGAAGTCTACTGAATATATAATAATACATTATTATAAAACTTATTTAATAAATGTCATATGTAATATATTCAAAATTTGAATATTATTAAATCAATTCTTTTACTATATTTTATAGACAACACCTTTCAGACATTCATGTGAAGGACCTGATGATATGGTAAGAGTACATATGTATAATTCTCTTTAAAACAAATACATTTTTATAATATTTTCATTTAAAAATTTCACATTACAATGATGTGTTATACTTATAGATTACTGTAGATAATAAGTTATGTTCTATAGTCAGTATTATTTTATTTGTTTTCTTTTGAAAATGATAATATTTAGAACATTTCATAAACATATTCATATTTAAGTTGTAATTACTGTAGATGATGTGTAAAATAAATAAAATTGCATACTATTATGATTTTAAATCATAGCATAAACAAATAAATTTTCTTTCTTCAGCATTATTAATTCACCTTTTCGGTGGTAATGGATACAGATTCTCCATTCTTCTCTTTTTATTTTTAATATTTTTCAGTTCCAATGAATTCTACCATTTTCAGAAGGGTCAGAAACATTAAAATGTGTCACAGCTTATTCTTTATTTTTATGATAAAGTTTTGTCTGCAGTTTTAATCAAATTCCTTTATTGCTGTATACAAGGTATCATCAAAAAAGTACATGACTATTTTTTCTCATAGTAATCTGGAGGAAGGAAAAGAGGTGTGTAATGCCACCTAGGAGCTCTGTGCATTTGTGAAATTTTTTCCAGCTCTATACTGGACTGATGTTTATAGAGAGGTCCATATTTTGTGATTTTTGTTATGTTCTTATCACTATGACTGAGCAGGTTGAGCAGCAAATTTGCATAAAATTTTGCCAAAAACTTGGTGACACACAAACACAAACAATTGATAAGGTACAGAAGTCCTTTGGTAATGGTGGTATGCAGAAAATTCAGAGAGTGATATCTTTATTTCAAAGATAGCAGAACATTGATTGAGAATGATGAGTGTGTTGGCTGTCTTCAATGAGCATAAATCACCTGCAAGTTTTTGCATTCTCTTGTAATGAATGACTTTGAAATGCCATTCACCACACCTGTGATAAATCAGTGCCTCACATCACTATAACAAGCAGGGTCCTCTTCCATTTATTGCGTCTGATTCAAGCATTCCCTTCTAGTCTCAGATTTGGCTCCCTGTAACTTCTGGCTCTTCCCCAAAATGAAAATGCCATTAAATGAATTGAGATTTCATGATGATGATATCAGTGCCAATGCTATAAAGGCACTCATGGCAATTCCAATAAGTGATTTCTTGAATTTCTTTCACAAGTGGAAAGAGCATTGGACTAAACGTTTTCTGTTGGAAGGGGAGAGTATTTTGAAAGGAATTAGGATATGAAGTTGAAACATAACATAATTTTTTCCCTTGTCAATGATTGGATACTTTTTGATCAGATCTTTTATTACTTGCTACACTGTATCATTATGTTTGTAGGTATGATGCAGATTGTACACATTACTTCATAGAAAGCAATTATTTGTTAGCTAAAGACATATTAACTGTTTGATGATTAGAAAGTAATGTTTTAAGCATTTTACATTCTAACAAGATAGTTTGTTACTTATGTGTAAGTGTTTTAATTATGTTTTAGGAAATTAGTTGATGATTTGGATCAATATTGTAATGCATTATAATTTTTTCCATTTAATATGATGTCTCTCAATTAATGTTTTCCTGCAGAATGTATGGTTTCCAGGAACAGATTACTGACCTTAAATGGGCCTGTAATTTGTAACTTTAAAATTATAGTGCATGAAAGAAAAAAATGTATAAAATATTTTTATTCCATTCGCTTTGTTTGTCTACTTGTAAGATATCTTGAGAATTAGAGATTTATAATAGGCACAATCTTCTCAAAATTTTGTATTGAAAGAACATTAATTTTATACTATCTTCAATAACTTACGTAATTTGACAATAATAAATGATAGTATTATACTATTAGTTTAATTAATTCATTTAAGAGGCTTGAATTTCTTTTGATGAGTAAATCTTTGTCAATGCTCAGAGTATAAAATAATACAAATTAGTATTAAGTACTGTACTGTACATATACTGGTATATTTATAAATATATTTACAAATAAACAACAGTTTAAAATTATATAATAAATCATTGTACTAATTAAAAGAATTATTGAAAATATTTTGTAATATGTATAAAAATATAAAATTTTGTAATTTAAATTACAGAATTACAATTGTTGCTGACCATATAACCCATATAGTAATAATGCATAAATAGCAGATTAAACAGAAAAAAGGAACATTATTTGTAAATAAATAAATAGTTGTTTAATATGAAATTTAAATATAAAACTGAAATTTTGCATTCTAATTTTGTGGTTCTGTTAACTTTTAGATGTTCTGAAATTATCATTATCTATTTCATTTCTATCAAAAACTGCAGAAGTTAATTCTGTATTTATCTGTATCTAAATTGAATTTTCTAAATTCTCATTTATAGAATTATTAATAAATAAATTATGTAAATAAGTAATAAATATAATATTTGTTTATAGCCTGCACACATCAAATCCTGTTTTCTGGGTTCTAGTCTAACTATACCAATTACAGATGGGCAGCTAAACCTTGGAACTTGGCAAGGGATTTGGCTTTGTGAACACAGAAATCGAGCAGGTGAGTTTACATATATAATTTGGGATATAGGCACATTATATAAAAACTAATAAATTTAATAAACATTTTAATAAATCATAGCTGCTTTATGGTATCTCTGCCAAAATAGAATGTCAAAAAACCTGTTACAAAAATTTGGAAATTGATTCTCAAAGAATTTTAAATAAAAATTTTTAAAAATATTTTTTAGCTGGAGTTTTAAAGAAACGTGAAGTTAAAAACATGCAATTTCTAATGCATTAAACATATACAATTACTGATGGTTTATATTGCAGTAAAATGTTTTCTCTACAAATAAGTTAGCAAATTTAATAGTTTCATCAAGTTTTAATGCATATTTTCAAACTTATCTTCATAATTAAATTTGATTATGCTACAAAGACTATGTGAATTTAGTTTGAGAAAATAGTATTTTTTGTTGAAAAATTTTAAACTTTTATAATATACTCTTATTTCATTAAACTAGATGATTCAATACATAGAATGATACAAAAATTTATCAGTAACTTAGTAGGTGCACATAAATAAAATGCACATTTAATTTGTGTGTATTTACTATTATGTGTGACCAGTTTGAGATTTTGGAATTCTATAAAATATTTCTTATTCATGTTCCATTTGTTGCTCTATACACAAATCAATATAAAAATAATTTAACTATTCATGTAAAATCAATAACAGATTATTTATAAAATATTCTGAATTTGATTTATAATACACTTCATCAAATTAAAAGTTTAGTCATAAAAATGATGTGAGCTGATTTGTATTTGTTATTGCCCCTCTATATCTTAAGAAATGCTTAAATCTGTAACATTTATATACTATGGAATCAAGGGATAATGCAGAGTGTTTCAAAAAGGACACAACTGTAAATATAAAGAATTTATATGTATATGTTACTGTGAAAGACTGAAATTAGAGAAAGTTGATATTCTCCGGTGAATGTCAACATGTACAAAATACATTGGTGAAAGACCAAATATTTGGTTATATTATTATTCGAACAATTGCTGGTGTATGTCGACAAGCCCAGATAAGCTTTGGTGGAGGTCAAAGAAATTGTTAATACTTTTGAAGAAAATTTGAGCAGTGGCCATAACGAATACCATATTCCAAAGGAAAATATTGAAGAGGAGCTGCAACCCACCACATCTTCATATCAAGCCCTGATGAAAAACACAAAGTTATTTCTATAAAAAGAGCGGCTGTGAAAGAGAATCTTCTACTGCAAGCAACGAAAATGTTACGAACCTCAAAAAGAAAATTTCTTTCTGCTCAAATTGGTGATACCATACGAATACAAGTCCCTGATGTCAACCATGGCCATACAGATTCCAGAAATGTGTTGGCAGTTGTTGTTGGAATAGAAGACTCTGACTTTTATAAATTAGCAAACAAAAATGGTACCCTCAAGCAGCTTTATACCCATAATCAGTTCATAATTTGTAAAGTAAAGTTACTTTTCATAGATGAGATTTCTTCTCAAGAAATATTGCTAATTCAAAAAGTGGAGGGCAAGGCTTTACATGCTGTCATTGCAAAAAGAAGTGTTCCATGAATAAATGCAGTTGTAAAAGCAAGGGACTTAAAAAGTTGCATTTTTGTCTTAACGTAATAAAAATATTTTTATTCAACATTCACCATCAGTGCATCCTGAATGTTGGCATTTGCTGGTGTAAGTGAGAAATAGTGATATTTAGCAAATATTTTGTACATACACAAAACAACTGTGTGAATTCTGACATTCACTGGAGAATCTCAACATTTACCAGATATCAGTCTTCCCCAGTAACATTTATATATATTTTACAGTGGCGTAGTGTGGGTTTCAGCCGCCTGGGGCAAAGGAAAATTTTGCCGCCCCCTTATTTAGGTATCTCAATTTAAAAGACTAAAATTCAGTTTCGTCACAAAATAAGTAATGAAAAATTCCGTGCTAGTCTTGCCACCTTTTTAAAATCGCTGATCCAGACGGCAAGTGAGGTTTGTTCGAACAGAAGTTCCTGACGCCTGCGTATGTCATTTTGCAATGCAAAGGATAATGTGCAGTGCATCCTAGCTCTATTGGATAATAGTGGTGTGTATGGATATGAATGAATCATACAAGCAAAAAAAAGAAAAAGGTTGACAGGTTGCGCACGATATCCCTGAGTTTAATTAATAGCTCACCCGGACGGTGAGTCGATTCCTGGACTGTCTGGATGGTAACACTATTTCGTGCTCATTTCAATCGGTCCGAATCGTAGGTGCAACGGAAATGTGAAATAAAATGATTCAAATTTTTACAAGATATTATTACTTATTGTGAAATTTTGCCGCCCCCTAAAAAGTGCCGCCCCTGCTTCCCCCACTACGCTACACCACTGATATTTTATACTATAATATTGGCCATGTGGCAACACTGTACTTGTATTCAAGACTGACATCCTCTAGCTACTGAAATCATCTTGCTATGCATTAGTCTTAACTTAAACAATCATTTCTTTGAGTTATCAGCTCCATCATCTTACAGAGATGAATATGTATTTATTAAGTCTCTGTGTACAGATGTTACAAATATGTGAGTGAGGAGCTTGCATTGAAGTTTCTTCCCATTGCAGTTCTCAACGAGTTAACAACATCTCATGTGATTTATAAGTTTCATGACACAAGATCTGTACAAAAATACAATAGATAGTCCTTTTTGACAATAGTGTTTCAAATACAGTGTTTCAAAAAGGCCAATAAAGTCCTTTTTGAAATACTGTATTTGAAACTGCTTGTCAACTTAACTAAGTTTGTTTCTCACAAGTTTGATCATTTTATTTATGCTAATAAATTCAGTATAATGATTTAATTTTATACACAAAAAATTATTTAATTTATTATACTTTTTATATTTTAAAAATTGTCTCAAAAAATTATCATATTATTTACAATGCAATGAGTAGATTTGGACAGGTCTAGAAGATTGAAGCATATCAATCCTTAGATCAATCAAAATGAACATAAACAATTATAAATTATTACACAAAGAAAACAAATAAAAAATTGCTTATATACATAAAATTGATACCATCACTATGATGCTTGATAACTTTTGATAAAATAATTTAATATATTCCTTTCATTTATTTCTTAATATTAGTCATTATAAAATAGATACACTTAATATTATTCCGTGTATCTATTTTATTCACAGTCACTGAATAATAATAAGTGTATCTATTTTTTTATTATATGTTTTTCTATTTATTGTTATGAACAAAATATCAGTTAATAATTAGACCAAACTTAATATTTGTTAGAATAATCATGACAATGATAATGTGAGAATTCGTTGTTGTCATTGTTGTTGTGGAAACAGTCGCAGCATGATGCCCTGTTTAGAATTTGTTAGTTTTTGATGATATAATGTCAAGAGTCTATGTTAAAGTAGTTAAAATGCTTACGTCAATAATAATAAATGGTTAAAATGCTTGTCTCAATAATTAAGATCTTATCTCTGAATTTCTGCATTAGAATTTTATACCATAAAAAATTTAATTTTTCCTCCTCCACTAAATGATCTTTGCTGAATTGTGGCTGCATCATATAAAGTAGGAAGTATGGTGTATTAATGAATTTTCTAAGTAAATATATTTAAAACTTTAGTCAGTAAAATCACAAAACAATTATTTTTCAAATTAATGTTTTATGTCTTGAGTTGTAGTTTTTGTTCTTCCAATTTTAATTCTATTACTTGTTTATGACATTCTAATTACCATTTTATATATAAATTATTATTAAAAAATAATTCATTTGATTAATAAAATATAAATTTTTTTAAAATCTAGGTTCTCGGAAAGTGATTGTGACAATAAATGGAGCTTTGAAAGATTAAAAATAAATCTCTTGCTTGAATCCTTCTCCAATTGCTCACATTTCAAATACAGCATATGAAATTTACTATTTTCTCTTTTCTACATTTAATTTGAGTCATGTTCTAATTCCAAATATAATTAGACGTAAAAAGTGAGAGAGATAAAAATTAATGATAAATGATTCAAAGTACATAACAGAATTACTTGCAGATAGAATTTTTTATGGTCCATTGCATCATTTATCACAATAAAATATTATTTGAAGATGAATATTTGCTGTTCTTTAATAAAATATCCTACTTATAAATGATTCAAATGTAATTTTTTTCTTATTGATGTTTGTATATTTAGTGTAACATTTGAAATATATTTGTGCTTTTTAACATAATATATTTAAAAATATGTGTAATTTGAAAATAAACACAAAAATAACTGTATTATCTTAGTATATTCTTATTGTACTCAAGAACACAGTCATAAGCAGAGTCAATCTTTCTTTACAGCTCTTTTATTGACTAAAACTGTGTAAATTACTTACAGTTTATAAGATCAACTCTGCTTGTATTTAATTGAGCTCTTGTTGTATGAGAAAAATATACTAAGACAACTTCAAATTATTTGTGTTTCTCTTCAAATTATGTATATATATTTTAAGTAATTTTCTGTCCAGAATTTTTATTGTTAATATATTAATTGAAATATGTTTCTTTGTTAGAATTTACAAAATGAAAAAAAATCTTTATTCAAACTGTTTGGCTACAAATAGCGATAAAATTACAAATACTGATAAACTAAATTTAACAGTGATTATTATTTATCATTGTCAATTTAATTTAGATATAAATGTATTGTATATTTTCTCTTGTAAATTTCCATAAATGGATATTTTATTAAAAATAAAAAAGACAAATAAGTACTTTTGTCAATGTTTTTTGTACAGAAATTAAGACATTTATTCTTTTTTAGTCTGTGCTGTAAAATTGGATTGCAATTTGAAAAAGTTGTAGAACTGTTGTCCATTGTCTATCTGTCCTTCCTTAATATCAAGAACGGAGTTAGATAAATGAAAGTTGAGACCAGATATAGGCACAAGGTCCTGGTTAATTATATACATACTTTCTACAAACTGGAAGTCATGTTATTTCAATTCAAAAATTTTACCCTGAAAGGTATTAGGTAGATGACTGGCACGACTCTGTTGTAAAAGGAAAAGTATGATGTACAGGGGCTTGCTAACAGGAAAAATATGTAGAGGGACAAGCCACTACAGTAGTTTGAACTACAATGCAGTTGCAGTTCAAACTAATTTGAGGTGAAGAATATATATTTTAAATTAAATAAATTAAAGATATGATTAAAAATTGCAACCTGGAATTGTGATATCACAATAAATATTTGCTCATTAAAACATTATTCTCTTATTAGCTGATTCTAACATTTAATTGTCACTGACACAGTAATCACAATGTTTTTATATAAAAAATACGAACATCATTAATATAGCTTTTGTTTTTAAAATCTTCCACCCTGTAGGTACTGAGTCACAGTATCATTTTCTTCAATGACAAATAAAGGATAACGTTAGCTTTAGGGCAATTTCTGGTCATCTTAGGACCTCTATACATCAAATTAAAGCACATGAAACTAGTTCCTATCATCATATCTGGAAACTGTAGGAAACTTTTTCAGCCCTCCATGGATTGCTTTATTTTTTCACTCAACTTACAAAAATTTATAATAAACTGATAGAAGAAGGATGCAGTAAGATATAGTGTGTTTGTCTATATTTATATTGAATAAAAGTATCAGGTCAGTCCATAAGTTCGTGCGTATTTTATGTCCTTGAGAAAAATCTTGTTTTGCTGTTAAAAATGCCAGTCTAATGTGATACTTTTTACACTGAAGTGTTAAATTGGATCTCATTCATATAATACTGTTCAGAATTGGGAACATTTCAGTTGTTTATTTTCGTTAAAATGGAAGTAACAGATGAATATAAGAGACATGTTTTATACTTTTTATTTTTAAGTGATGAGAAT